CTGTGAATTGTGCAAGACTGTTGAATCACAGACCTGTACCTCTGAAACAAATAATGCAATATATGTTAAGAAAAAAAAAAGAAGATAGCAGGAGGGGAAGAATGAAGGGGGGGAAATCGGAGGGAGAGACGAACCATGAGAGATGACAGACTCTGAAAAACAAACTGAGGGTTCTAGAGGGGAGGGGGTTGGGGGATGGGTTAGCCTGGTGATAGGCATTAAAGAGGGCACGTTCTGCGTGGAGCACTGGGTGTTATGCACAAACAATGAATCATGGAACACTACATCAAAAAGTAATGATGTAATGTATGGTGATTAACATAACAATAAAAAATTTAAAGGGAAAAAAATAAAGTATCTCTGGTGTCTTCCACAAAAAAAAAAAAAAAAGAATCCCTGCCTACATCCCTCTGTCTCATCAGCTTCCACTGTCCTCCATCAGGCCCCCGATGTCCACTAATGCTGGACCATTTGCTGTTTCTCACAGTCTCTGTCTCTGTCTCCCTGTCTCTGTCTCTGTCTCTCTCTCTCTCTTTCTCTCTCTCTCTCTCTCTCACACACACACACACACACACACACACACTGCTGTTTCCCACCTCCTCTCCTCTGCCTTTACTACCTGCCTTACCTGTGGGGGAAATTCCAACCTGTCAAGATGAAGCTCAAATATGGCTTCTATTTTGCCTCCCTCTGCCTCGCACTGTGCTACTCAATACTTGTATGAGAGCCCTTTCAAACTGCATGGATTTATTTGCTGGTTTACATATCCATTCCTCTGCCTGGACTGTGAGTCTGGACTTCTACATGTAGAAAGTTTAGTTTTAGAATCAGACCCTCCTAAGTAGGAGTCCTGGACCTGCCTCCTACTTGCTGTGTGCCTCTGGGGGAGTTGCTTGCCCTCTCTGTGCCTCGGTTTCGTCAACTGTAAAATGTAAATCATACTAGTAAGTACTTCTTAGAACTGCTGGGAGTGTTTATTGATATTGGGTGTGTTAAATGCTTAGAACAAGGCCTACACTTACGGCATGCACCCAGCGACATCAGCTATTATTGTTACTATTGATATCACCGGACCCCAGGGCCTTAGCACTGAGCCAGACTCCCAGACACACTCAGGGAGAATGGAGTTGAACTGGAACACGCCCAGGCCTGGGTCCTCTGGCCTCCCACACCTTGTCACTGGCTGTGAGAAGCTCACGCCCCTCCAGTTCCTCCTTGGCTCCTTCAGGTCCAGCCAAACCTCTCTGATAAAGAGAAGGGGGAAGGAGAGCAGGAAAGAGAACGGCCAGATAAAATTGGCTGCTGCTGCGTCTGCTGGCTTCGGTGTACCCCCGCAGCTCTGGCTCTCGCCAGGGATTTCAGCCTGTTGTGCCCTTTTCATTAACAATAAACTTTGGAAACTGCAAAACCGCCTCGGGGTGCATGGCTCAGGCTCTGAAAATGATGGAGTGCTAGGCCCAGGAGAGGGTGGCGGGCTTTCTAATTTTAAAAAGTGGGGGAGGAAGAAAGAGGGAAAGGACTTTGACAGAGAAATAAACAAGGAGGTTCACACCCCCAAAAGGTCTGATGTGTCCCTAAAGGAGGCCAAAGTCACCGGTCCCTTCAGTGACTGTCAGAATGTACGGGTCTCTGGTCTCGGGCAGACAAAAGGACTGTTTCGGTGACAGGAGTCCTCCCTTTCCAACTGGCCCGCCTGGTATCAAGCAGAGACAAACACGATTCGTCTCAAGACCAAATATTTTACTACGTGAGGAGCCTCCATCAGTGAGTCCTGCTAGGCCCACCTCTAAAATAAATACATCCTGATTCTGTGCTCGAGTCTGATGTTCCCACGCACCCCTTGCTCTGAATCTCCAACCTCGCTGGTTTCCTGCCTTTTCTCTCTTGCCCCTCAGCTGACTTTCTGTATTCAGAGGGGGCTGGGGAACAGTGTTCCAGATGCGCGTGCCGTGGAGCATGGGTCCTGCAAGATATTCTGGAGGAAAAAAAGTGCCTGTGATCAAGCATCAGCCAAACGTTTTTTGGACAATGCTAATACCTGACTGCCCTTGGACGGTCTGGTTTCTTTGACTCTGAATTTTGCAGGTTGATTTGGCCATTTCAACATCCTTCCTGACATCCACAGGAACTAACGGGGAGCCAATCCGGTAAACAATGGGTGGAGATGATAGACGGGGTTCACGGGCAGCCAGGTGAGAGACCTGTCCAAGTGGCCACGTGGGGCTCTGGGACCCCACCCCGACCCTTCCCACAGGAAGCAGCAGAGCCACTCCTCACAGTCAAGGCCCTCATTGTAACCCTCGATTAACTAAATGCAAATAGCAGTTCTAGACTTGGTACATCAATGATTCATCAAGGAGGTCCCATGGTGTTAGGTATGAAGCTTCTAGTCCTTCCTGATAACAGTGACACTTACTGAAGGCCTACTATGTGCAGACTCTGAGCTAATAAGCACTTTGCATGAATTATGTCTTATGGCTTTGTTCCTATGAGTATCCTCACTGTACACATGAGAAATTCTGAGTACAACCAGGTTAGTAACCACCATGGCCACAGAGCGAGTCCAAGGCGGAGCCAGGCCTAGGGCCATAGTCTGACCACACATGCCACTCTCCTAGCCACTACACCATTTTACATATATGTGACCCCCCCGGAACCTCGGTCTCCTCATCAGTCAGATGCAGGGCCCTCGGTGAGCTCACGGGTCCTGCTCTTTCAGGATGGTGCCTTTGCCAGTGCTCAATAAAGGGGAGCTATCCTCAGAATTACTCATCTGCCTCTTAGCCAGCTTCTGCAAAACAAAACCCTAAGACTTTTCTCTCCCTACTGCCATCACTCTTTAAAACGTGTTATGGCTGGAACACCTGGGTGGCTCAGTCAGTTAAGTGTCTGACTCTTGGTTTCAGCTCGGGTGGTGATCTCAGGGTGGCGGGATTGAGCCTGGCTCAGTGCTCAGCACGGAGTCTGCTTGGGCTTCATTCTCTCTCCCTCTCCTTCTGCCCCTCCTCCTTGCCCCGCATGCACGTGCTCTCTAATAAATAAATAAATCAAAAAAAAAAAAAAAAGAATGCCTACTTCTGAGAAACACTTGCACATTTAAAAAAATAAAAATAAAATATGCTGTGGCTGCCTCAGAATCACAAAATTTTCGAGCAGGAAGGGCCTTAGAGACCAACTATTATTTTTCCAGAATAGCCAAGGATTTCTAATGTTTAAGAGCAAGGCCTTGGGAATTTCTCCTGAAGAATGACCAGCTTCCACACTCCTGGCCCAAGGCTCCTTGCCCACGCTAAGGTCACTATCAGTGAGGTGATAGGAACCCTCTTGGCCATTCTTCTGGCAAAAGGGGCCGCTTCCCTTGGGCACTTTTACAACTGGTTATTTATAAGCCCAGAAATCTTGTCTGTGTTTATGTTATTAGTCACTAAGCAAAAGCTTATTTTCCACCAGTTGGGAAGGGTTTCCTTTCTGAAAAATGAAAGCCTGTGTCTCTTGGCCAGACAGCTTTACCCAGAAGCC